TAGGGGGCGGATTTCTAGGATATATCCTTTGGCTGATTGATGATGCATGGAGGGGATTGGAACCATGGCAATGAGATGCTATACGATGGAATGAATGTAAAACTAAAGCTCTCTCATGCAAACTATCATACAATGCACAATAAAACATTGAAAACAAACTCAACAATAGGTGTTGGCAAGTTTGTGGACAGACTTGAACCCTCATCCATTGTAGGTGGTAATGTAAAGTGGTACAGCTGCTGTGGACACCAGTTTGGTTGTGCCTCAAACAGTTGACCATAGAACTACCATATGGCCCAGCAAGTCCAGTCCTAGGTCTGTGCCTGAAAGAAGTGAAGGCAGGAACACGGCATAAATCTGCACATCACTGTTCATTACAACAGTTTTCACACTAACCAAGAGGTAGAAATAAGTAAAATTCCCATCAATAGATGAATGGATAAACTAATTGTGCTATACACACATGGTGGGACCCAGTCAGTCACAAGGAGACATGAAGTCCTCAAGCATGCCATAACTTGGATGAATCTTGAAAGCATCATGCTGGGGAAATAAATTAATCTCTAAAGGACAAACATGGTATAGCCTCAGTTTATGAAATAAATATACAGAAACCAAAGATTATGAATGTTTACCAGGTTCAGGGGTAGGGGAGAAAGGTGGAATTTTTGTTTGAGGGATACGGGTTTATGTTAATGGTGGTGCAATGTTTTGTAAAATGCTAATCATAATGGTGGCACACAGTGAAAAATATAATCAATGCCATTTAACTGTAAAAGTGGAAGTTGCATTGGTAAATGTTTTTTTGTGGGTATATTTGAACCCCAATTTAAAAAATGAATATTCAGAGAACATTCTTAGAAATTAAGGATATGAATACAAAAATTTTAAAACTCAGTAAGATTGGAAAATGTAATTGAGGAAATCTCCCAGAAACCAGAGCATAAAGAAAAGGAAATCAAAAATAGGAGAAAGAAAATGACCCAGTCTGGGAGGTCTTATAGCTTATACTGGATAATAAGACCATAGAAGAATTGATGCCCTTGAATTATGATGTTGGGGGAGATTATTAAATATGCCAAGGACTTGCAGAAAAACGACTAAATCTATGTTGTAAAAACTACAACTAAAATGCTTCTTAGAATCAAGGATGGCATGACTACATTTCAAAACTTTGGACATATTGACAGGGGACCAGTCCCTGCTTGGTAAAATAGAGGGTCAGCGAAAAGAGGAAGACCTTCAGTGACATGGATTGACACAATGGCTTTAACAATGGGCTCAAACAAAAGAATATTGTGAAAATGCCTCAGGATTTGTTCATAGGGCATCATGAGTCAGAACTAAATTGATAGCACCTAACAACAACAATAACACATAAGAGAAATTCACTTGGAAAAGTCCTAGGCTCCTCTCTTACTTCATTATTGTATTTCTTATGTGGAAATTCTGTCTTTGATAGATTTATCTAATTTCGTGAGGAGGAAAAAACCAAATAACTCAAAAGGAAAAAACACAGTCAGTGATATTTCAAAACAATTTAGGATACTTTGAACAAACAGAGGATGAAAACTTCAGATCAATGAGAAACCCCAAAGTCAACATGAACAGTTCAGGGCTAAGGCAGATTGGAATTCCAGCTCCAGACCACCTGTGTCTGGAGAGATTGGGCAGGGGTGCAGGAGGGGAAGGAAATCTCAGATGACCCAAGTGCTGGCCAGGTGTTGAGGGGGAGGGGAGCAGCACAGAACCACTCCCACCCAGAGGTAACTTCCTGGGTGGACCCATATTTCAGAGCAAGCGTGAACGTCTGAGGAAAGCATGCCAAGGAGAGTTAGGAAGATTGTTCCTGAGAGGGTGGAGTGAGACCACCATGAGGGAGGGTCACAGGCACCTGACAAGGGAGATGACCTGAGAATGGGACTGGGCCTTGGGCATCAACTGGGACACATGGCTTCTGCCCTGCCTCAATCCAGGGAGGATAAAGGGGTTGGTCCAAAGAACCAAATGTGGTCACCTCCTGCCAGCACTGCTGGAGTCTACCCAACGAGGTCCAGAATTGGGCAGACAGAACCAGTCAAAAATCACACCACTTAACTAGTCCTGTAACCCAGGGCTTAGAATGAGTCCTTTCTAGTTTGACTCCCTACTGAGAATTTGCCTTTCCACCCAGATGTGCGGATTCTGATTCTGTTAATCTGGGTTGGAAAAGCAATTTTCAGCAGGGCGTGGAATTGGAATGAATCCATTTGAAATCCTACTGTGAATACACTGCATGCTACTGTGTGGACCTGTGACAACGCCCCAGTGGACCCTGGATGTGCCCATGGTACTGCGGCTCCATGGGCCTAGAAGTTGGCAGTTAGGACACTTCCAATATCACCTGAAAGACGTGTCTGATGTTCCTGCTACTAACACTTATCCCATGGCGGAGGAGAATTTTGCCATTTCCACTTCCATAACAGCAAGGTGGGCTTTCTCCAAGTATATGTACAAAGAGAGGGACAGACAGGTGTGACTGTCCTACAGACAGGCATGGGATAGTGAGGAAGGAATCCTAGCTGGGTTCTTCCCAGACCCAGACTCAGAACATGTAAGAGGAAGGAGTAAAATATGGTCTGCTCTTGCTGTTTTTAAGTGCCGTCAAGTCGGTCCTGACTCCTAGTGACCCTGTACAGGGTTTCCAAGAAGAAGCTAGTGAGTTTGAACCACCGACTTTGTGGTTCAAACCAACCTTGCAATCCAGTGATTTATCCCACAGAGCCGCACCAGGACTCCAAAAAATGGTCTGGCAACACCCAAATCCTCCTACAAAGCATTATCTTTGCCAGCCCAGAGTTGGGAATGTCAGATACAGCCTGTCAAAAGTTGTGTGGGTGACACACATCACCTGACTTCTGATACTACATACACCTCCAGCCAACTGGTCATCTTTTACCTGGAAGATACACAAAACCCCCCAGACCTGGGATCAACTGTTTGAGCTCTCAATTTTCAGATTCTGCCTGTTGACTCACTGACCACAGCCTCTTCCCAGCCTGGCTTATTTGTCCTTTCTTAGTGTCAGGGGAGGAGCCCATCCTGACATTTTTATTGGCTTATGGATTCACCTCCTCCTGCTCTTGGCTTTCAGCACAACCATTCCCAAAACTGCACCTGGCTTTATCTCCTAGTAGCTTTCTCTGAGCTCCAAGATCCAGGAAAGGTCAGCACCTTGCAACCAGGCATGATGGGGACACCGACGACTCTTCTGCTATTTCTGCTGCTCCTTCTGGGTTCTGCAGTCCCCCAGGAGACCCAGACCCGTGAGTGGGGAAAACAAGGGATAGATACTTGATAAGAATGGGAGAGAAAGTAAAGACTGGATGAATGGTTGGGAGAAGGACTCCTGATGTAGCTTGGAGTCCCATCAGTAATGTAGTAATGAGTGTCCAACGCTGTTATTAATACAGTTAACACACTTCTAGGAGCGTTCAGGCAGCATCTGGATTAAAGATCTTAAATACTCTGTAATTTAAGGCCCATAGTTTACAAATGAAAAAAACCCCACCCAAGATCCAGATCACAAGCCAGGACAGAGCAGGAATCACACACGTAAAATTTCTTCTACTCTTCTTGCCTCCATCTTTCTAATGGCTGCATGTACCTGTCAGATTCTGAGGCAAATACAGAGAGACCTCAAGTGGCAAGTGTGAAGGCAGGTTAACTGGAGAAATGGTGCTAGAAGGAAATCCATTCCTTTCCCCCAGTCAGATACTACAGTGGCCCTACAAGGTGAGTGCCTAGAAGAAAAGATGGCTGGAGCTTGGGAACACCTAGAGTCAATTCTAGGACAGAGGATGAGGCCATTTATGACAGACTTTTCAGAATAAAAAGTATAAAGCTGATTTCTAAGCTCTGTTCAAGTTTAAAATTTGTTAGATTTACAAATGATCATAATATTCATTTTATGTTAGTTTTATAACAACTTCATTTAAAAACTGGTGGTTGTGGTTGTTGTTGTTATGTGCCGTGGAGTCGATTCCAACTCATAGTGACCCTGTACAGGATTTCCGAGGCTGTAAATCATTATGGGAGCAGAAAGCCTCATCTTTTTCCTGTGGAATAGCTGGTAGTTTCGAACTGCTGACCATGAGGTTTGCAGCCTGATTCGTAACCACTACGCTACCAGAGCACCTTTAAAAATGGATTAGCAAGAATCATTTCAGTACTTGAACTAAGAATCTTCCATACAACCACCAGCATTATTAACCAACATCGTTTGAATCATATTATGAGTTAATTATGGATTCAAGGAAATGCTTCCCCTCTGTCCACCCACCCCCAGCCTCAAACCAAAATACAAAGTATGGTCCTAGGAATTCTGAGACCCATCCTGACCCCTTGTAGAGAATTTCCTTTAAAATGTAACTTTCTACTCTTTATAGCTATCTGCATTTGTCAAGTTGGATTATTATTATGCTAATAATAAGGCTTAACCCAACAAAGGTTTCTTCCTTTTTTTTTTTAAGTTTATATTGTGAATTGAGTGATAGTTTACATGGGAGGACATCAGCTTTACATTCATCCTATGATATTTCGTTTCATTGTAATGACTACAATTCCCTTTATGCATCATCATTCAACAGCATGTGCTTCCAATCCCTCTGGGTGTTTTATTTTTCCAGATATACACCAAAGCACTCAGGAATATATAACCATTCAAACAACCAAAGGGCATACACTGCATGTCTGCCCGCCTCAGGCCTCCAGCACACAGCCCTTCTCCCTCCTTGAGTCTAGAGTCCCTAGCAACTCCATCTCTCCAAGTCATCATCTCTGCCTCCATCTCTGGCATCGCTGCTTCTCTGGATAGGGTCCGCACTTCGCTCTTCTCCCTTGATGGTCCCAGGGTCCTCCGCTCATAGACTGCAAGATCAACCACTCCCCTCCTTTTGTTATAAAATATCTACCTTTACATTTGCAACCCTCACAGTAAGTTTAGTCCTGATAGCAATTATTCACTCCTGAACCACCAGAGTCTTATCCCTATTTCCTTTCACCAGCCCCTTCTAGACAAGTTGGAAAACACTCAGTGGAGATTCTATCTTTCCCCACGCCCTTTGAAACTAAGCTCCCTCTTGAAAGCTTGTAAGCCAGTCACTTCTTGCCTTTGTAGCCCCCCATTTTGGGTAGCCAGTGTCTAAGTGCCCATCCCTGTCAACCCTGTGTACCAAGGGGATGGGAATAATCCTTGCTGTAAAGATTTGTTCCCTCTTTTTAGCTACTACATCCATAAGTATAGGTCAAGTTCATCAAGTTGTAGTGGATTACACTTTTTTTCCTCTTCTTTCTTCCTCTAGTTGAGTTCTGATCATCCACACATTGAAGCTAGATTGTATGGGTACTGTCTGCAAGTATGGGCATTCTTGTGCATCTCTCCTCACTTCATATCAGCTGGACGCTTCACTTTCTGCTCTAGTCCTCTGTGGTTATGTCCCTGTCCATGGGCTCAGGAGTCCCCAGGTCTCGCTATACTGCTGGACAACCAAGTCTAGAAAATCCCATTGCAAATCAGGAAACTCTTCTCTGCCTTCATGGGATGCCTCAGGGACCGAGGCTGTCTGCATCTTGGGACTCTTCCATTTCATGATATGACATCCACCTACAGGGGAGAGAGATAGAAATAGCCAACCAACATGTAAGGGCCTCACACCAGAAGAAAAAGCATCGCTTTTATTCACATTCCCCTTTGTCAGTCACATGATCCCAATATACCTGTAGGGAGACTTCTTCTGTGCAAAGAAGAGGCAATGTTGTACAACACACACAGAATGGTCTCTGAAATAAGTGTCCAGTCCTTGTACTCAGGAGAGTATACAGTGGTGTGAAACTGACCAGGGAAGACAGAACTGGGGGGAAATCTTCCTTCCTGGCCCTCTGCTGGCCCACAGTGAATCACCACCACCACCACCACCACCCCTGAGAGGGTGAATTCCATCCCTCAGAATCCTCTCCTCTTTTGCAGGACCATACTCTCTGACTTTTCTCTACACTGGGCTGTCCAAGCCCAACAAAGGTTTTCCCAGGTTTCAGGCCACTGCTTACCTCAATGATCAGGCCTTCTTCCACTACAATAGTGAAGGCAAGAAGGCTGAGCCTCTGAAACCCTGGAGTCAGATGGAAGACATGGAGGACTGGGAAAAGGAGAGCCAACTTCAGAAGGCCAGAGAGGAAATATTCATGGTGACCCTGAATGACATCATGGACTATTACAAGGACAGAGAAGGTCAGTGGATAAGGATTGCTGGAATAGAAGGTCTTAGCTAAGAGGCAGCCTCATAATTAAGAGCGGAAAGGAGTCAATGGGATGGAAATAGTCTTTATCCCAAAGGAGAAACAGAAGGCACAAGAAGAAATACACAGACATTTCTGAATCCGTCCACCCCACAACACACCTGTTTAATCTGCCTTTACTCACACAGGAAGTGATGTTAGAATAAGATCTTCTCCAGACACATTCTGATCTCTCAGTTCCCCCACCTGGCCCCTTAGAAGGAATAAGACTCATCGGTGTCTAGGGATGTTGGGTACAAAGTGGCAGCCTTGAAGTTTGTCAGACCTGTGGTCACACCATGGCTCCGCTGGTCACTAGCTATTTGTCAGTGAGCAAATGACTGGGCTGCATTTGCAAAAATTGGAGCATTGAGGACTGCCTCCCATAATTGTCATGATACATAAATTTAATATAATTTATCAATGTAAATTTCCTGAGGATTAGAAGAGTCTGCCTGATTTGCCTGACCTGCACCAACCAGGTCAGTGCACAGCCAGTAATACTTGCTCAACAGAAATGTGTTAAATGAACAGATGAAAGGCACCTAGAAAAAAACACGGGCTATACTAAGGGCTCAGTAAACATTGTATCAAGACCACAAACGGGTAGAATTATATGGAATCATAAAATTCCTCCTGTCTGTACAGTAAGATACAGGGAGATAATCTGTATTTGTGTGTAAGGAGATGGTGACAGAGGCAAGCATAGAGACTAGCTCTTGTGCCTCCCTTTCTTTCTCCGGAATCACAGTGCCTGTCCCCATTGCCCACCTCCCAAGTTAGTCAGCCTTAAGCCTAGTGAACTGTTGATGTTCGATGATTATACAGCGTGTGTCAAAAGGTAGGTGCCTAAGTACAAAATTGCCTAAGACATTACATGGACTCTGAATCCAAATGAGATAATGCTTCCAAAAGGAGGCAAGAGTTACACAGAAATCAGAAGAATGTGGACTTCCGGTAAGGCAAGTGGTTTGGGCTGTGTGTCAGAAGTAGAAGGGGGTAAAGAAAACAGGGGAGATTTTGATTGACTGGAATAGAAACGTGACGTGAGTAATTTTAAGCAAAGACAATAAAAAGATGAAGCCGAGGGCTGGGCAATAATAGGAGCTAACATTGATTGAACGATTAAGTATATGTCTGGCTCATGTGTTAACACATTTACTGCTCATAATAATCTTCTAGAATAAATAGTATTGTCATTCCCATTTTAGAGGTGAGGAAGCAACATGGTGGCAGGGAGACCTGGGATTTGAGCCCAGATCAACGGAGTTCAGAGCCCACGCCAACACCTCTCATCAGTATAACACCTACTTTGTAATCAATATGAAGAGATTGTGTTCCACTTCCCTAATGGGATAGGAATTTGGGATAAAGATAGCAGATGCTGGCACAGAAGGGAGAAGTAATCCCACTATGCTCAGTTAGAATGGAAAGAAAATGAAAGATTCCAATTACCTACCGAAAGTCAAAAATGCTTTCCAATTAACTTGGAAATGCACTTCGGTATGGTTGTGTTGTGTTTCTAAGAACCCATAGTGTATTCAAATGAATCAAAAAAGAAGGACTAGAAACCTATCTACAGTTGATTGCTCTCTTAAGTCTCCCAGCTGGGAAGGGTGTAGCTCATCTCAGACTAGCCTAAAACACCAAACCAAATCATTTCCCTCTCCCTTTCAATTATATGTTGGCTAACAGCCTCTAAACTATGAGTCGGTACCGACTCGATGGCACCTAACAGCAACAACAGTCTCTATGTCACAATAAACAGATTGTTTATTTGTAGATTTCAAAATCCTTTCCTCCTACTGGGTTGCAAACTCTGTAGGAATAAGAGTAAGATGGAGTTGGTGCCAATACTAACTGACTTCCTGTGGGGTTGGGGTGGGGGGAGAATTTAGGGTCTCATACCTTTCAGGGAATGTTTGGTTGTGAGTTCTGGAGTAACAAAAGCAGTGGAGCCTTCTGGAAGTATGCCTATGATGGACAAGACTTCATAGAGTTCAACAAAGAAATCCCAGCTTGGGTCCCCTTGGACCCAGCAGCCCAGAGCACCAAGCGGAAGTGGGAGGCAGACAAAGTCTATGTGAAGCGAGCAAAGGCCTACCTGGAGGAGGAGTGCCCAGGGATGCTGCAGAGATACCTGGAACACAGCAAGACTCACCTGGACCGAGAAGGTACCTATTGTTTCCAATCCCGCATTCCCCAGTACTGAGCTGAGAAGATCAAGGGGTCCTCAGTTTGGGAACATTTCACACTGCTTCGCATCATTCTTGAAAGTCCCTTAGATCCTTCAGCTTTTACATCCTTGGATTCGTTCACTCCCTGGAAGGAAAAGATGTGGGTCCCAGAAAGAACATTCATTAGCTTTCAGGCAGTATTGGCCAGAAAAGGCACTGATTCAACAGTATGGCTTCCTAACACCCAATTTACAGATGAGAGTAATAGAGGATAGGTTAACACTGGCTAAGGCTCAGAGATGGGACTCGAATTTCATATTTCAAATTTTTATCTGTTTCCTAGTAACAGATCACCACATGGCTTAAAACACCAGAAATTGCTTCTCTCACAGTTCTGGAGTCTAGAAGTCCAAAATCAAAGCACCATCAGGGCCACAATCACTGTGCTGACTCTAGGAATAACGTTGCTGGCATCTTCCTGGCTTCTGGCAGTGAATCCGTGTGATGTCTGACTTGTAGACACACCACTCCAATCTCTGACCCAGTTTCCATATTCTGAGGTGCTGGGTGACCATGATTTGTGTGTACAGGGGGTGAAGGGGTACACTGTTCAATCAGTACAACATCCCAGCCCATAGTCATTTGCCTCTACTGTTACACCCCCTTGGCTTGGTTTTGAAGAAAAGACATGTGTACAAAATATCTGTCCTGGAAGGATGAAAATGAGCAAATGTGAGCAAGATTGATTGCTATAAATTGACCCTCTGAATTGGGAAGTATTAAGAAAGAGAGCTGTGGGTACAGTCGGAAGAGTTTGAAACACAGGTAGAACTAAGGGCTAGACTGAGACTGGAGGGAAGAAGGCACTGTGGGAGGTTTGAAGTAAATAGAAAAGTCTCTGGAGGCATTTACAACTTGTTGCCATCAGAAGTCACTACATGGGGGTGGGAAGGGCTGGCAAGAGAACAGTCATGGTCATTCCATGATCCAACAGGGAAGGTTCAGGGAAGCCCTCAACCTTTCCTGCTCTTCATAGAGGTTTCTTGGAGGAGATAAATGCAAAGCTTAGAGTAATCACTGACAACCAGGGAGTCAGGGTGGGAAGAGACACAAGCAGGGAGACATCTACTTCAAGGCCTCAATATTCATGTTCTGTCCCCCATAGAGCATCCGTCTACATCAGTCAGCAGTCATGAGGCCCCAGGAAAAAGTGTGAGACTCAAATGTCTGGCCCATTCCTTCTACCCCCGAGGAATCAGTCTGCACTGGACTCGGGCTGGCGAAGTACAGGCGTCTGCATCAGGAGGAGAGGTTCTTCCCAGTGGAAATGGCACATACCAGATCTGGATGGTGGTCACAGTTCCTCCTCACGACAAAGAAACCTACAGCTGCCACCTGGAGCACGGCCACCAGACTCAGACCCTCTCTGTGCTGTTAGGTAAGACGCAAGAAGCCAGGGATGAAGGCGACTTGGGGACTCAGTCCCAATAACCACGTTTTCTGCCTGACATGAGAAAGATAAACTTCAGGAATCTGTTTGAACCTAATCAGTAAAGTCCAAGGAAGAATTTCAAGGAGATAGACAATGAATTAATTTGGAGATGGAAGACTTGAAGGATTAACACTGAGCTGCCTCTTGACGCCAAATCACGTCACCTAATAAAACTTCTAGTGCTGAATCTGTAAAACCAAATTAATAATTGCCTCACCTAACTTACACAATATATAAAGATATTTTTAAACGGTGCAATGCTGTAAAAATGTGAATAGCTTTTACTATTCATTCTTTCCCCAAAACATTTGATCCATTCAAAATTCTCAGATGAATGAGAGTACCCTTTGGACAGAGAGAATAATGAAAGGGTAGCAAAGCTCCTTCAGGAATATAAAGACACATTTTTTTATTGAGTTGTTGTTAAGTGCCATCGAGTCATTTCTGACCCATAGTGACCCTGTTTATGGTTTCTGAGGAGCATCTGGTAAGCTTGAACTGCCGACTTTACAGTTCAAAGCAACCTTGCAGTCCAGCGCATTAATTCACAGCGCTACACAAGGATTCCATTTTTTTTTATTATTGCAGCAGCGTCAAAAAGTTACAACCTATGATTCAGATGTGCAAAAGAAAGCAGAAAACACGAATTTTGCCTAGCAAATATATCTCCACACTCTCTTTCATTTTAATTACTCTCTGACACATAATTTCTCAAATTTCACTTTTTTCCCCCTTGACAAGTTTTTGTCTTTTACCCCCGCCCTTCCCCAAATGATGTCTGGGTGTAGGGGTATCCACTGAAGGGTGACTCACACCACTTGATCCCTTGGGCATGGTTTAGGAACCTGCTGCTGATGTTCACAGATGTTGCATGGCCACTCTGGTTGTGAAGTTCTAGAACCCTGCAACCTCTTCAGTACAAACCCAAACCGCTTCTGTGTCTCAGTTCCTCTCTGCACTTCCTCTCTCTTTGTGAGACATCACATTTCAATTCAGCTCTCCAACCCTTCCCAGACCATGGTGGCCTTGAAAGCTTATTTGAGAGACTTCCATTTCCTCAGGCCATATTCACAGGGAAGAAGGAATCGGCCCTAATGTTCTTGAGTTCCCTCCAAATCCAATCAACGTGATTTTTGTTTTGTTTCTAATTGAGTCAGTCGCTCATCACCACCCACAGGTTTAAATCCCAAAGGGCAGAGCAGACATCTCACATTTTCCCATTCCATCCTCTTTCATTCTACTCACCTGCCTTTACCTTTGCTTTTCCTTCTTGTATCTTACATCCTATCCTTATCGTCCCTACTCTGGATTATTCCAAAGACAATCCTCACAGCTGAGCTCCTTAAGGAAATCTTTATATATTGATAGATACTTGACTTCAGTTAGAAAATCAAAGCTGAGGAATAGCCTCTCTAGTCTACAGGAAATCCACATTCATTTCAGGTGAGACAAAGTCATATCTGAAAAGCAAGGGGGCTTTAGGGAAGAAAAACCAAGTAGTCAAAGGGGGGGATATTAAACGGTGCATATTTCCAAACATAATACTACGATACTTTGAAAAACTAAAAGGTAACACATGACAGGATGAAAAATTCAGATCAATGAGAAACTCCAAAGTCAACATGAACAGTTCAGGGCTAAGGCAGATTGGAATTCCAGCTCCAGACCGCCTGTGTCTGGAGAGATTGGGCAAGGGTGCAGGAGGGGAAGGAAATCTCAGATGACCCAAGTGCTGGCCAGGTGTTGAGGGGGAGGGGAGCAGCACAGAACCACTCACACCCAGAGATAACTTCCTAGGTGGACTCATATTTCAGAGTAAGTGTGAAAGTCTGAGAAAGCATGCCAAGAAGAGTTAGGAAGATTGTTCCTGAGAGGGTGGAGTGAGACCACCATGAGGGAGGGTCACAGGCACCTGACAAGGTAGATGACATGAGAATGGGACTGGACCTTGGGCATCAACTGGGACACATGGCTTCTGCCCTGCCTCAACCCAGGGAGGATAAGGGGTTGATCCAAAGAACCAAATGTGGTCACCTCCTGCCTGCACTGCTGGAGTCTACCCCATGAAGTACCAGCAACAAGTTCCCCTGCAAGTAGGGCCAATGTCCAGTGCAGTAAATGATACCCCTCCTTGGGAGAGTCTCATTGCCACCAATGATTGCCTGTAACAGTCCCTCAGTCCTTTAGTACTGCTTGTCTCACAATAGAAGATTCCAATGTGAATAGTTCACCAACTACACTAGAGGGATGGAGGGCAGAGACACCAACCAAGTACAACTCTGCAATCCCTTCCCTGACTCAAGGCCTACTTCAGTTTGACTGAGTTCTGCTTTTTAAATTTGATTCCCCAGAAAAGCTCTCTGCTGCAGCCAACGAGATCTGATTGTTGACCAGGCATATTCATTTTTCTCTCAATAGCTGTTACTAATTTATTTATTCATTCATTGAATTATTATACAGTGAGTATTTGTCTTATTTATTTATTTATATTGTGGTTTGGGTGGAAGTTTAAAAGCAAATTCAATCATTTTTTTTCACATTTTGTTTCACGGTATAAGTTGCGGTCCCCTCACTTACGCTCTGGGTTCCCCAGGTCCATGCCCCCTTTACTTCCCGCCCCTCACTGCCTCCTGAGTTTTGTTTTAGAGCAAATGGTACGCTTTGGGTCTTAAGTGGTATAGGGACACGAGATAAATGCTCCCAAATAGCCACCCTAATGTGAATCCTCAAGCTGAGGGAACCGAAGAAAACTTCAAGTTTTAGCTTTCAATATTGAAGGATTCTATGGAAAAATATTGAATGATGCAGAAAGCATCAAAAGAAGAGGGAAGGAATACACAGAGTCACTGTAACAAAAATAAATGGTCACTGTTCAACCATTTCAAAAGGTACCCAATGATTCTGAGATTTACAGCCTCGGAAACCCTGTACAGGGTTGCTACAAATTGGAACCACCTCCATGGTACATAACAACAACAATGATGCTGAAGGAAAAAGTCCAAGGTGCATTGAAGGCATTGGCAAAGAACAGGGCCCCCAGAACCGTTGGAATACAAATTGAAATATTTCAACAAACTGATGAGGCAGTGGAGGCACTCACTCATCTATGCCAAGAAAGTTGGAAGACAGGTATCTGGCCAACTGATTGGAAGAGATCCATATTTGTGCCCATTCCTAAGAAAGGTGAACCAACAGAATGTGAAACCATCAGAATATCATTAATATCCCATGCAAATAAAATTTTGCTAAAGGTAATACAAAATGGCTGCAACTGTACATGGACAGAGAACTGCCAGATGTTCAAGTCAGATTCAGATGAGGACGTGGAACAAGGGATTTCATTGCTGACATCAGATGGATCTCAGCTGGAAGCAGATGTGCTTTATTGACTACGCAAAGGCATTTGATTGTGTGGATCATACAAACTATAGACAATTTCAAAGAATGAGTATTCCAGAACGCCTAACTGTGCTCATGTTCTGTTCAAACAACATTGTGGTTAATGAGTTTTCCTCCAATCCTTATGCCACATTCTTCTTCATATAATCCAGTTTCTTAGCTTATTTGTTTAGCATACAGATTCAATTAGTACGGTGAAAGAATATAAACTTGACACACACCTTTCCTGATCTTAAACCATGCAGTATCTTCTTATTCTGTCTCTTTTACTATGTTCAGGTTCCACATGAACACAATTAAATGTTCTGTATTTCCCATTATTTGCAATGTTATCCATAGTTTGTGATGATCCACACAGTTGAATGTCTTTGCATAATTAGTAAAGTACAAGTAAACATTGAAAAAAAAAAAAAA